TGCAGACGCGGTCACCCGTGAGATGATCCTTGCCACACAGTTGACACCGCGGCTCGCAGCGATGGTCAGACGGTGGGGTTACTGCTTCCGCAGCCACGGCAAATCTTGTCGGCAGGGTTGGGACACACGTCGGAGCGATGGCCCAGCCTCCCGCACGCGTAGCACACGTCGATGTGCTTTCTGTAGAGGGAGCATCTCACAAGCATAGGTCCATAGTATACGTGTCTGGGAACATGGAAACCGTCGTACAATACGATGATGTTGTCCGTGGTGCCCATTCGCTTGGCATGCAGCACGCCGGGGTTGCGCTGCGTCACTAGGTTGTTAACGATGTCCTCCGGGCTCTCGTCTTTGGAAATGTTCCTAATCAGGCCCTTGGAAGTGTTCTCCGGGGCGGCCTGATAGGCGTTCGCCTCGAACTCTCGGTTCCCGATGCAAAGCTTGCTGATGGCTCCGTAGCGTTTGGCTCTGTCCGCGGACGGAGTGCTGAGCACCACGACGTTCTGTTTAATTTTAGGCAGATGCTGTCCTCTCTAGCCGCTTCTCTACCGATACCTGCCGCGTTACGAAGGCAGCAGTAAATGCGATCTATCTTGTATTCAGCCCCGTTGAATCCGCCGCGGGGGCGCACAATGATCCTGTAGTCATCGGGCGGTAGCTCTGGCATTCGGCTCGCCTTAGCGAGGTGCTGCAAGTAACGAGCACCTTCTTTTTATTCTGCGCCGCTGTGGCAGTATCCGGGGCAATCCCTGTAGTCTCCGCGGCAGCCGCCTGTTGCTGCGTCTCCGTCTTCTGGTCTTGCGCTGACTCGGACGCGCCGTCGGCCTGTTTCGTTCTCTTTACGCTGCACCATCCTGCTCCCTCGCCGAAATCTTCCGGCCGAATGTCCTCTCCTTCTACCTCTACGACATCCATTTAGCCCTGGCAAAGGCCTTGTACGCTGCCGTCGGGGATCGGGAGCTCCGAGGAGGTCCGGCGACACGTTAGGCTTGCAGGCCCCACCGCCGCAGCGGCCGGCCTATGGCGTGCGCGGAGACGCTGGACTTGGCGTTCTTGCTTTCGTGGTGGAATAAAAGGCGCCAATAAGTGGCTAAAAAAGTGGTCCCACCTGGAAAAACTTGGTGTCAGGGAAGTCCTTGAGACTGCCGCCGATCGATGGTGAGAAGCGTTTTCCACGATAAATTCGACAATCCACCGAAAAACATAGGAAAGTTGCGGAGCCGACGCGCAACACGTCCGCACTCCGTGGCCCCCTAGCGGTGTCCCCGAAATCATTCCAGAACTTTTTTTTTTGTCATATCTGCATCGATTACGTACGATTGCTCTGCTGAATACTTGCAAGAAATACAACACGGCTGGCTGTGGGTTCGAAAGTTTATTGCTCGCACTTCGTCTCCATTTAGAAATTTATGTTAAGTACCTGTCTGTTAAAGCGTAGTGCGTATAAATAAACAGAACGAATAAAAAAGTGTTCTGTGCTCTTATATATAACTCGTAAATAGTAGGAAAGCTAGGTGTTGGAAAGAGATCAGCGTAATTGCCAAGTCCAAAGCACCTTTATTGAGCCGTCATGGGCAGTTACATCAGCCCCTATACACAACCTACATCGAGTCAGCACATTTTCTGTCGCGTTTCGTAGCATTCGTGGAGTATTAGAGCGGCCCACATATGCCATTTTAGACTTCAGTCTTGTAGTCATTGTCGTCGCTTCGGTGTAGACGTAGCCTTTAGTGTATCCCCATTGAAAGAAATCTAGCAGAGTCAAATGTGGGGATCTTGCGAGTCATTCTACAGGTCCAAGACGGCCGGTCCATTTCTCAGAAAATTCTAGATCAAGCCACGTTCGAGTCCACGCGCAGCTGTGCGGAGGAGAGCCATCTTGCTGGAACCAAATATTCCCAAGCTGTGCTAGAGGGAGGTTTCAGGTGAAGTCACTAAGTGGGCCATTTAGTATTTCGCTGATGTAGCGTTCTGTGGTGAGTGTTCTATCGAAAAAGACCGGGCCAATAATTTTGCCGTCGTAAATGCCGCACCAAAAACTGAAAAACCGCTGCATGCACCCGGTGTTGTGACTGCAACAGCCAGTGAGGATTCGTAGCGCTCCAGTAATGACCATTGTGAACATTGATTTGGACATTGCGCGAGAAGCGAGCTTTATCGGACCAGATTATGTTCTTCAGGAAGCCAGGATTACCTTCTTTCTGTATGAGTATCCAGTTGCAGAAGTCAAGACGTCTTTGCAAATCTCCGTCTTCCAGCTGTTGATGCAGGTGAACATGGTATGAGTGAAGTCCTCCGCTCTTGAGTACGCGCCAAACCTTACTGCTGGAAACGCCGGTCTCAGCACTCACGTCGCACACGCTTGCGTGGGGATGGGCTGCCATGTGAGCCAGAATGTCTGTTTTAAGAGACTCAGTCACACCTTTCGTGCGCTGACGCCGCTTTTTGAATTAACGTGCCTGTCTTTAGCGTTTCGTAATTTCGCACCAATGTTGAACTATTTACCCTAATTTCTGGGTACCATCTGTGAAATATTCTTGCCGCCCCGCCGCGGTGGTCTAGTGGTTAAGGTACTCGGCTGCTGACCCGTAGGTCGCGGGATCGAATCCCGGCTGCGGCAACTGCATTTCCGATGGAGGCGGGAATGTTGTAGGCCCGTGTGCTCAGATTTGGGTGCACGTTAAAGAACCCCACGTGGTCGAAATATCCGGAGCCCTCCACTACGGCGTCTCTCATAATCATATGGTGGTTTTGGGACATTAAGCTCGACAAATCAAATCAAATATTTTTGCCGCCTCTCTCCTGTTTCCGTTCGCTCGGCTGAGGGCAAGAACCATATATTCGCAAGTTCTTCATTAGCGAAACGCATCGTTCCAGTGGGCTTTTTCTTGTCAAAGCGTGTAAAAAAATAAATAGTAACTGCGCACCACATACATTCCCATCGTGCTTTTTATATCCTTCTTTTATCAAAATGTTTGTCATTGGCCCGAAAAGAAAAATAAAAAAAGTGCCGCCATATCCACGAAGTGAATGATGATGAGTGGGCGAAGCTCTGGAGGAAAACCTGGTAAACCATGAATCTTCCGTACATTTTGCCTACTCGATTTTATTACAATGCTCCCCCTAGCGTACGTCGCCGCACTAAATCGAACGATTGCCTTCCACCAATGACACGTGCCATATGTGACATCTTTCCTATTTTATAACATCTCGCATCTTTCATCATCAACTACAAGTACCGCCGTCTAGTTTATAACATCTTGCATCTTTTCATCATCAGCTACAAGTCCCGCCATCTAGTGAGCACTAAAAGAACTAAACGAGAGGTGGCTACATGCAGGAGACGGTGCCGCCATCTAGTGAACACTGCAAGAACTAAACGAGAGGAGGCGACATACAGGAGACGGTACTGCCATCTAGTGGACACTGCAAGAACTAAACGAGAGGTGGCTACATACAGGGGACGCACAGCCCACGCCTTAAGGAGCTTCGCCCCTAAAACGTCTGCGTAGCGCCGTATGCTGCCTCCGGTCTCGTATCGCAATACATGTAGCAGCCACTTTTTCGTAGAAGTTTATTGTCCTTGTTTCTTTCTTTCGCCCCCCCCCCCATGCCCATTTTTAAAAATCCATGATAGCATCCAACCATCGCTTAATGTTTATCGTAGTCCCCGATAGCCTGTTCAAGGAACCTTCGTGCGTGAAAAGCCTTCGCTAATTCGTTCAACTTACATCTGAGGGTACTAAAGGCGCCGCGCGTTAGGCGGCAATCACGTGGTATATTTTGAATTTCGTGCACTTTAAACAAACCCTGGAAAAAAATCAACCAGCGTTATCTTACCGTAAACTGAAAATTTTGTTATTTCTCGATAAGAGCTACAAGTTTTGTATCGAAATTGTTTCTCTAGAGTCAGTATTTAGGAAGTTCATTAAGCAATTTTTGTTAACTACCACGCTTGGTGGATCAAAAAAATTATTCTGACGTGCTACATACAGCTAAGAACAATACTGAGCTAGCTGGAGACGCATAGCACTCATTTTAATTTTTTTTATTCCTTGGTGCGTTTTAGCTGAAACACGTACCCTTATAGTTTTCGGTTTGTGGGCACCGAGTTGGGCTGTGACGGGGCAGTGTAGGTCGCTTGGTCACGTGACGCTGATTATCGTCTGCTCTCACACAGACGTGCTACACAATCACCCGCAAATTAAACGTGCAGTAACCGTGATGCTTTGACGGTATGTATACATAGCGGAGGTCTCCAGAGGTCCCTCACCTCAATTTAATAAGATGTGCGCACGGGAGGGTGGTAAGAGGGGATGCAAACGTAGTCCCACGCACTGACACTATAGGGATGGGGTGCTGCGATTTGGTGGGGGGGACGTGAAGTCAGCCTCATACTTTGGCATAATAGGATGGGGGTGCGCTGCGACGAACCATTGTCCACTCGAAAGGGGAAACCTGCTCCCGCCTATGCTCACTACAGATCTAGTGTGACGTCAATGCAACTTTGGTTTTCCTTCCTACAGAGCCAGGACAGTTCTGAACGCGCTTGCGATGGGCTTTAGTCGAAATAACGGCATTTAGTTACGTTTTGGAGGTTAATTTAAATATATTCTAAATGTTTGCTGCCTCCGACCATTCGTGTGGAGTGTCCTAGCATACAGAGGCGACCCACAAGAGGCTTGTTTTAGACTCAAAATTTGATGGCACCACCCTTTTGAGTACAACACATCTAAGTAAGATAAACGTGACATCAACACGGATTCCCTCTGAAGAAGTTTCATTGTGCTAATCATGTGTTCCGCTTTTTCTCGAGCAGTTACGATCCCAATTGTTGTGAAACAGTGCTGCTGACCACCTTACTTTTCTCTCTTTTGCTTGTTTGAATCATTTATTTGTATTTGGAATCTGTTTTTTGCATTTAAATTAAGTGTTCACAAATAATAATAATTTAAATGAGATGATTGTTTTGTTCCCAGTGGTGCATGAAAGCCTGACTGCAGCTAGAGTGGCACGATGATGGATGCAGGAACCCACTTTGTGGAAGTGGTGCCCGAGGACATGCAGACCCTCGGCACTGAAGAGGAGACTTCGCCTTCTGTGTCGATGTCTATGGTCTCCTCCTCCTCCATGATCAACATGAACAACTTCATTTACTCTCAGGTGACAATCCAGTTTGGCTGGCAACTTACCACAGATGTTGTAAAATAGTTACGCTTCCCATTTAGTTCAGTCCCTCAGGCCTTTCTCTCACCTGCCCTCACTTTTGAAAAGCCCTTGTGGTGCTGGTGCGCCTTCAGTGGAATGTGGAGTGGTGAACGCACTTATAAGGATACTGAACAAATATTTTAAAAACTTGTAAAAACATCGAAATTGTACTAGGAAGATGGCACTGGTCCTATAAACAAAGTTTAGATCATGTATTTTTGAACAATTGGCTGTATTTTTGCTGGATTGTAAGTATGTGACAGCTGCCCATACATTATGTCACATTCTCCCAGGCACGTGCAGGGTCCTCCTCCGAAAATACTCCAGCCGAGAGGTGCTCTCCATAGGAGTTCTGGGAACCGTAGGGAGGGGGGTTTGAGAGACATGGTGGTATTGTTGACATGCCACCTTCTCTAGTTCAAAGCGTGGCCACTGGACATGTGAAAAACTCAGTAAATTCAATATTTTCCTCTACTTTCTACCTGAAATGAATGTTCTGTATATTACTTTCAATGCACAATCTTTTAATTTGGCTGAAAATCTTGGCGTCAAACATTTTATTCAGCGTTCCTTTAAAGGAGAACTGACACAAAGTTTCAAAGGTTAGATAGTGAGATAGATTTATATGAAGAACACACACATCTACAAGGTATCAAGGAAAGAATAGTCTAGAACATATTTAAAATAAATTTTAAAGTGCACGCTGCACGACTGAGCAAGATGCAGAGCCCCTCGCGACAAGGACATCAATGCAGGGCCAATGTAAGCAAACCTACATAACAAGTTAGTGTTCTCTGGTTGCTTGCACTTCCTTTGATTTTCTCCTCCACACCTGCAGCTTCGCTTGTGCTGTGACGTCGCCAGCTGCGTTTACCTTTCCCCCGGAACTGCTCCGGCCTAGCTTTGTGCTCTTAGAAATTAGAACACACTGACCACTCTAAAAATGTCTCTAAATAAAACCATTGTGCACTCACATAAACAAGGTTTCTAGCCAAGAAAAGTGGGTCATAAGCTACTTAATGCAGGAAAACAAAATCATGGTGCAAAATTTGTGTCAGTGTCCCTTGAAAGCTAGAGAAGCAGTCTGTAGTCAAGAATGGTGGAAAATAGTCTTGCTGAAAAGCCAACTTTGCAAATTTAATTGCTAAATGGTTCCCCATATCTTGTATGCAGCTTTAATTGCTTTCTCAATAGACAGCTTGTTTGTTGCAGCAAAAACAAGAGGCCCATCGTAATCATTTCAAGGTTGCTTGAAGTTGGCTATAGCATCCACAACAGGCAAATAAGAGCCAACTGATGTGTTTGGTTAGTGAAGCTAGACAGTGCAGTTTTCGAAAAAAAATTCTAAGCAAAGTGTAGCTCCAGCTGTTTCGACGACCTGGAGTGCTTGAAGTAGCAGTTGCTCCAAAGAAGTAATGATGAGCTCTGCTTGTTTCTAAGGGGCACATCGCTTTGCTCTTAGCATGTTGTTAGTTTACATGCCTGTGGTCTCCAGGTGCTGATTTGTGGTCACATAGAAGGAGAAATAATCTATTATAGCATAGTCATTCCACCAGCAGAAGTAATGACCAGATCACACTGTAGGCCTACCAGAAGGAGCCCCCACTGTTGTTCTACCTGCTTGTTTGGCCACGTTTTCATCAGGCCATCCCTAGGAAAGTGAAAGTGCTGCACACAAATAAAATTTTTCATCCCCTACATAAAATCGAAATTTCGTAGAAGACTATTGGTCTTCTTGATAAAGTATAGTAAATAACGTTAAATGCTAGCAAAGAATAAGGTTGGCACCTCTGTGGTTTTAGACCAGCTCAATGAGTCAAGATAGCAGGTCGGTTGCCGGTGCACATCCAAAGCTAGCCACCATCAACAGTCTTTCCAGCATACTGGTTGCACAGAAGTTGCTATGTATAAGCCTGTGGAAAGCCTTACTTTGAGTAAATTAGTCAATTTCTCAACCACTGATGGTGTGAACATGCTCACATAGGAGAAAAGGGCACTGACGGAAACTCAGCTATTGATTGCCACTAGTGTGGTTGCAAACTATTGTTTACGCAGTGCACCGTAGCATTCCATGATGCTGATCAACACTCACAGGAGACTGTCGAGGCATCTGAACTGGAACGAAAGGGTAGAGATTCCGCTTACGCGATCTTTCGAGCATTGACCATAGAAGGAGATAGCTTTCTTGAAAATTGGTGGCTGTGTGCCGGTACGCTGCGCAGTTGTGTGCCATTTTATCCAATAGTATATATGCGTCGCCTAGACATACTAAACTTTCACTTGGAAGTTTGCACCTGTCTTTTCATCTATATACTTTGCATGCAATCAACGGTGGTCAAGTATACAGCACAAACAGTGCTTCCAGGCTGGGCATGTTTTGGTGCCTTTGTGGAAGCTGGAGAGTGGAATGTAGTTGCACAAGTGATTAGAATGCACTCTGCTTCCACCATGGTGATGCTGCTTTATGCCATGGCCATCCATATGCAGCTCCACGTGCATTGGTCTACAGCTGATCAAAAATATGCGTAAACATTTTGCATCCGCCTTGAGGAATTTCTATATATATTTTTTTCAGTATACTATTATCGAACTCTGCTTGCATTGGTGCACTCAGAGTTTTTTTCACTCAGACCAGGTGTGCTACTGTAGGAATCTAACATACATTGCACTGGTCACCTTAGAGGATTATTGTGGACATTTTCAAGCCTAACTTACCAAGACTGTTGCTTTGTGTCATTATAAACATTTCCTGGCCATCTCAGTAATGGTGTGTATTGTAGCTGATCTGAAGCAATAGCTTTGACCTACAGGTTCTTTTCATTTTAGGTTCCTGATGAGATCATCATGGAAGGTGATGAAATGGGGCCCGATATTCTGGGTGAGATTGTGACCGACGACAGTCCCGACATGAAAGTGCTGCCCATCAACCAAGTAATTCACATGGACTTGGCCCGAGAAATGCACCAGGTGAGCATTATTTCAGGCAGCGACGCATTTAAGCTTCCTATTTTTTCCGACTGTGCCCATGCAGAGCAGTTGCAGCCTTGTCCATGAGTGCGTTGGCCCAGTCATCAGTCCTTTAATGTTAAATGTAAATTCACCATTTTTGGCATTCCAACGTTTAATTATCTAACATTTTGTTTGAGACTCACTGCTTAGCAGTGGTGCTGAATCCATTGTATTTAGAAACTTTTTGAGAAAGTAGTGGTAAAAAGAAAATACTTGCTGCAGGGTCATCAAATTTTAGTTCAAACATGGCTTAGTGTGGCTGTACATTGCACTGCATCCTGAACGGCCATGTTGAGCCCTTAGGAGTGCTAAGTAAAAATAGGGATGAAACGATTCAGACAAGATGCCTCGCTTGTGTCTACTTTGCAGTGCTGCCATAATGCACACTGTCATCCACTCTTAGAGTGCACAAGAGGACCCATCAAAGGTGCTTCTTGTCAAAGCCAAGAGTGGGCAACTGTGTGCAGAAGAAATGCTATTGTACAATTTACCAGGTTAGCACAGAGATGTCACTCATATTAAATGGTCTTGAACCCCTCTAGCTGTTCACAGAAAAATTACACAGATCAGTCCGTTTCACAAACTATACCTCGTTTTTTCATTTTCATCTGCACAGCAGTGTGCTTATTTTGCAAATTTGCACCTCTCGTCGACTGTTCAATGCTCAGCTCGGGTGTTCAACAAATCCTCCCTGCTGTCGCCCAATGAACATTGGAACAGTCTTGAATCTGTTGTTCAAGAGCATGACCAACTCTAATTCAAAATGTTTTCTCCTTTAAACTCTGCACATGTTGCCAACATGTATTGTGACACTGCTGGAGGATTTTGTTCAAGTTTGGTCTATTGTTGCAGTTTTTATAGTGCTAGTATATTTGATTGCAATGGCTATGACAGATAAACTCATTACAAATGAACGGTGAAGAACGTGGTGAATTCAATTTGCACTAGGAGACGACCCTGGGTGGACTGGAGGGCCAGGGTACCACGTATAGCTACATGCTGTTCTCGCCCTCGAGCCAAATGCATCTGCAGGAAGGGGAGGCCAACGAGGAGATAATCCTGGGGACTAACTCGTTGATCGAGCAAGAGGACATCATCGAAGGGGGCGAGGCGGAGGTGGGGCCCAACTCGTTGATCGAGCAAGAGGACATCATCGAAGGGGGCGAGGCGGAGGTGGGGCCCAACTCGATGATCAAGCAAGAGGACATCATCGAAGGGGGCGAGGTGGAGGTGGGACCCAACATGGCTGTCGAGGAAGCCCTGTCTGAGCCAACCCTGAAGAAAAAGAGTCGTGCCCTGGCCTCCATCGAAGACATCGGCTACGAGTGCCCGGACTGTGGCAAGTCGCTCAAGAGCCGCAGCAATCTCAAGAAGCACATCAGCAAGCATCACAGCGTGTCACGCAAGGTGGCTCGCAGTGCCGACTATTCCAGCTCTGAGGAGAGCTCACTCTATCCGCTCTACTCTTGCCCGTCCTGCTCGTACGTATCTGTGCGACGTGACAGGCTTGACAAGCACATAAAGAAGCACGTGCTGCAAGAAGGCGTCCATCCTTGCGGCAAGAAGCGCACAAAGCCCGATGCTCCCCTGCAGCGGCAGAGGCACAATGCAGAGGAGTACCGCTGCTCCCTCTGCCCGTACACGTGCACTGTGTACGAGGCATATCGCAAGCATCAGAAGAAGGCCCACATGCCAGGTGCTGCCAAGCTGGTACCCGTTAAGGTGAGCTGCAAGATCTGTGGCAAGGACCGCTCCACCGAGGAAGCCATGGAGAATCATATGAAAAAGCACCGCAGCGGAAATAACTTCTTGTGCGATGTGTGTGGTTTTGAGAGCATCCAGCTGAAAAAGATAATCCAGCATCGACGCATGCACACTGGCGAGAAGCCGCACCTGTGCCCGCACTGCAGCTACCGGTCAGCACGCAGAGACAACCTCCGCTCGCATGTGCGCCGCATGCACAAGAAGAAAAACATGTACATCGACACGTTCAACCCCAATGAGTAGGTGGTGTATGAGTGAACGCTGTTTATTGGCTGCTGCCACCGCCGGTCACTTAGGATGGCAGCTCGAGCACAGTGCGCAGGACCTCGATGCCACCGTGCAGAAGGCACACCCGGGGCTGACCGCTGCGCACCAGTCCATTGGCCACCTGCAGGGAGCAGGCCTTGCTTGCATGCTGCCTTTCAAAAAATAAATGGGTTGTAGGACTTACATTCACAGCTGCAGTGTGTTCTTTCTGGCTGCCTGCCACCACCACCACACCTGCTGCTGTGAGCCTGCCTCTGGCTGGGACCACATTCAAGGCGCCTGGAATGGTGCCCCGCTGGTACCTGCCTTGTGTTCAGGAACATACTATTTCACATACTTTTTACTGCTGATCATGAAACATACTGTTGAATTGTCAGAGATAAAACACTAGCTCGACTAGCTGATATGCAGATGCACACTGCAGTGCTGACATAATCCAAATAATGGTGCTAAGCTGATATAACGAAGTCAAATATTTGTTATCAAGTCCTTGTTCTTACAGTGCATTTCAACAACTTGAATGACTAACATTCTTATGTCATTAGTTTATTTGCACCAAGTCAGTCTCATTGAGGAAAAACTGCTCTCTAATTGTCACAGTTCGCAGGCAGTTTTGCTGGAATTTATCTGAAGTTTACTCACTGTTTTCGGCATTTACCTCATTACATTGAATGTAACCAGCTTACAATGAATGCCATTAGAATGACAGTTTAGGCATTCTCATACTTGCCATAGCAGCTTGTATAGAGACTACCATAATTTTGGGGGATACTGTAAAAAAAAATTAGAATGGTACTGACAGCAAAAAACTGTAACACCTACCTGGTGCAAATATTGGCTTTGGTTGTACATAAAGAGCAGCTTTCACACTGGACATTCTTTCGCCTCCTGGGCCATTCACAAGATCCGATATGTTGGCAGTATTCTCCCTCTAAAGCACTTTTAGTTTAAGACCACTATGATGTGGTATTTGTTTGAACTCAATGCAGCCTAGCAAGGAATGGATACTTCTAAACCCCAAAGGTTATATATATATATATATATATATATATATATATATATATATATATATATAAATAAGGGAAAGAAGTGTATACCTAAGGGCTCGTTTTTCCGTGTTTTTAACACAATAATAATGAGATATAACAGACAGTAATGCCAAGGAATGTACAGGGGAAGTTATTAACATTAATGGAATGTAAATAAGAAGAAAGAAAAGTGGATGAAAAAATTACCAACTGTAAGCAGGAACCGTTGATAATTTTTTCATCCACTTTTCTTTCTTCTTATTTACATTCCATTAATGTTAATAACTTCCCCTGTACATTCCTTGGCATTACTGTCTGTTATATCTCATATATATATATATATATATATATATATATATATATATATATATATATATATAATTTTTGCATGAGAGTTAAAGGGTGGACATGGCATTGGGAGCGTTCAATTTTTTAATGTGAATTCCTTTTCTTTACTTTCTCAATCCCAAGGCCATGTTTTTTTGTCATGGTAAAATATTAAGCTACAATAAGCAGCAGAAGAACAAAGCATTTTACTTGAGTGTTGTCGTCAAGAACTGAAAAAATTGAGTTTAAAAAATGCAAATCTTGCAACAGCTTTACTTTGCCACAGAGCTACCATACTGGCAACATTATAAAGAGAACAGATCAGAGTTCCAGAGAGCCACAAAGGTGCATTAGCTTGATGGAAAATAAAACCAGCTCCCTTCTGTTTTGGTAGATTTCTGCTCCCTTTTCTGAGCTTTAATTTTTTTTAGCAGTTGCTATTGATCATGTGTGTATAACAAAGGTGTAACCATTCCGTTTGTCACACTTGGATTCTGAGACATGCGCAAGTGCCGTGAAGCCTCCCATATTTCTCTGCATGCCATACAAAGTTTTCTAATTGGCTTTTTGTAAAAGGTGTAAATATGTTTAGAGCATTTCAGAAAGTCTTGTGTATGCTTATTTTGATATTGGGAATAAACCGATAACATTACGGCACAGAATGGGCCCTTGCAAACATTCTTATGCGATGACGAACTTATGTCTAATTGAATAATTTATGAAGTTAAAAACACACAATAGATAGCTCAAAGTCCATTTTGGGTGATTTTGCATGCCACGAATAATATTCTCATGCCAAATCAATCACTTTATCTGCATAAATAACAAAAATAGTTTTTATTGCCACGTCTGATATGTGTGGTTTAATGTACCAAAACCACAATATGATTATGAGAGACGCCGTAAAAGAAGGCTCCAGAAATTTTGACCCCCTGGGGTTCTTCAACGTGCACCCAAATCAGAGCACACGAGCCTAGAGCATTTCCGCCTCCATCAGAAATTCAGCCGCCGCAGCCGGGATTCGATCCCGCAACCTGCGGGTCAGCAGCCGAGTACCTTAGCCACTAGACCACTGCGGCGGGGCTTGATTGCCACATCCTCTGAATAAGAAACCTGGGTCTGAAGCTCACCCTCAAAGCTTTTGCATATCAATGTGATGCTTATGTTCAGAAATAAATGCAAAAGAAACTTTTGAGATGGACACATGCAATCAAAAGTTATTAAACTTGCAAATAATAGCAGGCAGATCGCATTTCATTCAACCAGTGACATGTCATGCTAATTGCAGTTAAAACACGCTTGGCATCTCTTGGTTTCAGAAACATGACCTTACAAGCACCACAATTTTCGACATGATTACCACCACATGGGTCACTCCACTAACCGCTGAAAGCTGCAGAAAGTTCCATAGTTCACACACGCTGAGAGTTGAGAGAATAAAGTTTTGCCGTAGATAAATGAATTCACCTTTTCACGCTTTGCGATTGCTTTTTTGTTGGTGCCTCTAAGCAGTTTGAGTGTGTGCTAAAATATACTTCTCAGTCACAAACACGCTGTCCCTAAGTGCAGCGAGGCATTACAGATGAGCAAGTGCTAGTTTCTCATTTTTGATAGAAACCGATACTACTGGTGGCTTGCTCCGCTCCTTGAGTTGGTTGCACAGGAAATACGATTGCAATGCAGAAATCTGTAGTTGTAACAAGTAGAAAACTTCATCCCATCTCCGAATTCCTCACAGTAACTTCATTGTGAACAAGTGTGACGTATTCTTTATATGAAACCAATCAAACTGCCCGCATAAAACCTCATTTATGCTGCCATAGATTGTTGATGTACAAAACTGCAATCCTGTATGGAAACTGACTTCAAGAACTAAAGTATCAAATGCTCGGCTTTTGCTGCTTTCACTTGTGCTATAGTTATGATCAAGTCTCATAGCTGGCAAAAGTACCATAAAATAACCTGCACTGGGCCCTTGAAGGTGACCTCTGGCAGTTTTTTAGATCAGTGGATCTCAATGAAATCCACTGGGCACATTTGCGGACATGCTTCCGCTATCTCTGCAAAATCACAGGCTTAAAATATGTGCAAATTGACAAGAGTGGAAGCTTGGGCTAGTTGGTGCGTAGTCATATTTGCAAGATGTTTCAGCGTGCGAACAGAGGAAAAAGGACAGGGTAGACAAAAAGAGCGCTGACTTCCAACTAACTTGATTTCGCGGAGTGGCAAGAATATATACTGCTAAAAAAGGATGATAACAGAGCATGAAGGTAAAATGCAAGCCTAATCTACACATCAGCAACAAAACACGTGTGACGGGTCCTCTATTGCCTCAAAGCCCAGCCAGGTAATCATGTTCAGCCTGTGACAAAGCAATCGATGACGTGCTTACACATTTATCTCCTAGCAAGTGTATTTTTTTGGCTTCGTTAATTTCTCGGGTAAGCTGGTCTCTGTGCCTTGCCAATATTGAGCACTGATCAAAGAGAGGGGTGCACCCACAATCTCGGCCATGAATGCCAAGATGCTCTTGTACTACATTGTGCACATTGTTTCGGTGTTCTCGGAGGCGGTCATTTATGCACCTGCCAGTTTGCCCGACACAGATGCACCCACACGTCAGTGGAATCAAGTATACGACTCCCACTGCGCATGGGACGTAGCGTGTCTTGTGTGCGACAGAGCACGAGGCAGAATTTGCACGAGGTGCATTGACCCGTTTGCAAAGCCTCTGCAATTTTTCCGGTGCAGAAAAAACCACAAGAACGTTGGCATCTCGAGCAATCTTTTTTAGCCTGTGTGAGACGTCGTGCACGTAAGGCAGTACGCAGTACAACAGGCCGGCTCTTTCTGACACTGTTTCGCTTATCCGGTTTGTCGCCTCGCTTCAAGACAGTGACCAGCTTTTCCGCCATCGAAACGAGAACATGCGCGGGGTAACCAGATTTGGTAAGCCGCTCCATTTGTAGAGCAAAGCTGTGGTGTACCATGTAGGGGCAGGACTTTTTTAAGGCATTGACTTAAGGCTAAGCTTTTTGAGTTGCAAAAAGCTTAGCCTTGACCTGTTCTTTTCTGCGTAAACTCACAAAATTGACTGCCCAATGCGGGTCATTGTAACTGAAAGGGGGACCTAGAAAAAGTTGGTAGCACTTTTCTTGCAGGAAAAGCTAAAACATATAACAATAGACGATCCTTTTTTGGTCAAGAACTCTGACGCTGTTATTGACATTATTGGGCAAACTAACACAGGACTCCAGGCAATGTCTGTGGATATTAAGTACTTGTATTACTCTTTGCTGCATGAACAACTACTTAAATGTGTAAGGAATCCATAGACAGGTTAGAATCATCAGTGTTCCAAACACGTACTGGAATTCATAACAGCAGCTTATTAGAATTACTCAGTTTTTATTTGAAGGCCACTTTTGCATCATGGGAAGACAAAAACTACTTACAAAAAAGTGGAATATGTATTGGTTCATGTTTGGCACCCATTCTCAGTGACATATTTCTAGCACATCATGATCGTGTCTTGTCAAACAAGCTTGACGACTCTGTAGTTTTTAAAGTTTGTCATTTTATTGATGATTATTTAGTGTTGTTGAAATGCGATAGTCAAAATTTTCAGACCATTTCCTCTGACGTGTTGACTATTTTCCGAGAGTGTCTGAAACCACTAGTTCTAACCCATGAATCACCCATTGATACAAACCTGAAGTTTCTAGATTTGAAGCTTTTGCTAGAATCCCGACATCTTTGCTGGATGTATGAACCAAGAAGTGGCAAGCCACTTCTGCCTTTCAGCTCAGCTCACTCTAAATTGGTCAAACGGGGCATTGCTAGCCTCTGCCTTGTCAATGCCTTAAAGAAGTCCTGCACCCACATGGTACACCACAGCTTTGCTCTACAAGTGGAGCGGCTTACCAAAGCTGGTTACCCCGCGCATG